ATATTTTATATTATAAAATAATTATAAATTATTTTAAATATAATTTTAAAATAATTATTAAAAATAATAATTTTAATATAAATCACAACCTTAATTGAATAATAATGTAAAATGAGTTTATACTAATAGTATATTTAAATTAAATCCTAATTAAATTTATATTCTTTTTAATATTTTCTCAGTTTAATTTCCATACCTTGTTAATGTAAATAGTAATTAAATTAATTAGAAAGACATCATGTAGAAGTATATGGCATGTAAAATCTAAGGATAAAAGAGTAATAAATTAACAAGCTTTAAGCATTATATTTTATTTATTTAAGATAATTACAATAACAGTAACCGACATTGGATTTATATATTAGTATAAGCTCCATTAAGTCAAAGTCGGTCCTAATAGATAAATAGTTAAAAAAAACAAATAGTAGATTAGGCCAAGTTTATAAGCATTTCCTTCCACTTGTGAGAATATAATAAGGGCACGTTAGCCTTTATACCAAGAATTATATAACACAAATTTGGCAACGAGTTAGATGAATGTATTAAATGCATGATGAAATTTCCATTGATGATGCTTTCTTTTTCAATTTGTGGGATTGCTTCCTCCACTTGTTTCAGTTCCAAGCCCTTCATCTGCTTTTACAACTACTTTTAATACCAAATTTAAGTTTGTTAATTTGGTGATAAGAAACATGATGCAAAAAGGCATCGTATTAAATATTTTAAAAAATATAGTTTAAATAAATTTTTAAACTATGGTAAAAAAAATAGATAGTTTTTTATTTAGTCCTTTTAGAAAAATCATTTTTATTTTTATAAAAAAAATTATTTCATTTTATTTATTGTCTTCAGATAATTAACCATTAAATCAAACAAAAAAAGACAAAAAAAAAATTATAGGGACTAAAATAGATTAACAAAAGATATATATAGAAACTAAAATAGAAAATGATCAAAACAAAAATAAATAAAATTTGAGACGATTGAAATGCAAACAACAAAAATTTGAGATGATCAAAGTAAAAATAACAAAAAGATAAAAGGATTAAAATGAAATCAATATCATTTTATATGAACTAAATATTTATTTGAATCAAATTTATAAAATTTATTTTATTAAATACAATAAATGCACTAATACATAATTAAAATAATGAATATGATGAATGCATTCGTGACTAGCAAAACAATTATAAAATTGAACACGTAACTTCGTAAAAGTCATATAATAACAAAGTCACTCTTAAAAATGTATAAAAGTAAATATAATATAATAAATAGAAAAAACCAACATAAAATAAGACAAAGATAATGAAATGAATCGTAACATTTACAACAGGAGAACATCAAATGATAATTACATTACAAAATCATTCCTACATTGATATCTCTTATAGATTATATTAGGCACAAAACAAATATTTTTATTATTTCATATTCATGTGTTATCATTCATTAATTGACATTTTTGTCATATTTTATATTTTGTTCGGTATTATATATTTATTATATTTCCTTCATAATTTCAAAGTGATTGTAACTTTATTATGTGAGTTCAATAATATTTTTATTTTATTATTTTATGCACGTGTGCTATCATTCATTAAGTGACATTTTTGTCATATTTTATGTTTTGTTCTTGTTGCTAAGAATTTGTTATATTTCCTTCATAATTTGATGGTGAATGCAATTTTAATTGACGAATTCTTTGAAATTTTATGTTTAAGACATTTTAAATAATCACCAAAAATAAAGATTTTTAATCTGTGTAAATTTAAATTTAAATTTTGTTAATTTAGCTTAAATAGAAATTAGTTTTTTTAAATAAGATTATTTTAATTTTAATCATCTTAATTCTAATTATTTTACAAAAACAAAATAATAACTTTTTAATAAAACAATTTTTTTTTTACAAAAACATAAATTATAACTTTTTTTGAAAGGATAAAAAGAAAACTTTCCATTTTAGCAGGACTAAAATGTTATTTAAACCTTATTTAATATTTTTGGTATTTCATGTAAAAAGTAATTTTTAGGCAAAATAACACTTTTCTTTTTTCTATTAAAAAAGGAAAACATCACAACTTAACTATTAAGTATGTATGCGGATGTTTGTACAAAAACTTGATTAGATCCTTATTTGATTCTAGATATAACTCGATTAAAATCTGACAACATATGAAACAAAATTAGGTAAAACAAACTTGTTATAATTTTTTTTATAAGTGAAAAATCATATTAAGTAAATGTACTTAAAGTACAGTGTATGTATACAATAATTAACTATGGGTCTAAGGTTATCAAATATTTATATGTGTCATACAAATATATAATTTTGTCTCTAGAGCATCCATATAGTAACTAGATTATTTTTTTTCCCGAAAACTCCTTCATACGCATTTCATACACAATTACTACATATCCCATAGATTTAGTTATTTTGCTTCCATGTCACCTTTGTTCCATGCACACACATGTTCTCAATCCACCCTAAGATACATCAGTGTTTTGTAATGCATTGTTTAGGATTTGTTGACCATTGCACAAATGGTTCCTTGAAGGTATCCACATACTACATATATTAAGCCCACACATAAAACACAATACTTGACATTACTTTGTTAATATTAAATTTCATATTCATGAAAATTTCATTATTTCTAATGTTACATAGAACTCATAGTGATACACATCACACTACTTTTCATTTGCCATGTTGTACCAAGTGTGAAGTTTCATGTTGCCAAAAATGCATGTGAATGTCAGTTGATAATACCATTTGTATATGTAGCCACGAGTAATAGTTGATCCATACATGCCTTGACATTAGACATATGAGGAAGATGTGATTCATAGTTTCCTCCTCCTTTATATAGAATGAGCACTTGCTTTCAACCTCTTGCATTTGAATTCCTATTCTTTTAAGATAGTCAATCATTGGTAGAGCATTATGAAGCCTTCTCCAAATAAACATTTGGACTTTTGGAGGTATCTTTACCATCCACGATTTTTGGAGTATGTTAATATTGTTGCAAGTTGATTCATTTTCCCTGATTGTGTCATATGTTGAGCGAATAGTATAACTCTTATATTATCTTGTAACCATATCGAATTATCTTGTATCCCTTTCATAATTGTCACTGAATCTATTAATCCCAATAATTCATCCATCATTTACATTTCCCATTGAAACCACTCTTTCTTCCATGTCAATTTTCATACCCAATTGTCATCCCCCCAAACCCTCTATATCCTCATGCCCCCTCCAACCTCTATACTTAGATCTCAGAATTTATTTCCATAACTCCTACAACTCATTATGTAGTTCCCACCACCACTTTGTTAACAATGCATCATTGAACCAAGAAATATTCTTGATCCCTAAACTACCCTTACCCTTTGGTTGATAAGTTTTTTTCCAATTAACCCATGCCACTTTTATTTTTTCTCCTTTACCCTCATAAGAAATTTCCATGTAAACTCACAATAGCGTCTCTCACTCCCATCGGTATTCTAAAAAATGAGAGAAAAAAAGAGGTAAAGATGTCATCACTAAATTTATGAGACATACCTTCTCGACAAAAGACAAAAGCTTATGTTTCCATCCATTCAATTTCATTTTTATTTTTTCTACAATAGGTTTCCAAGTCTCAACTTTCCTAGGATTTGTGCTAATTGGAATACCAAGATATGTAAATGAAAAAGGCAAAAGTTTGCAATTTAGAAAATTTGCATATTTTATCAATTTTTCACTATGAACTCCCACCGCTTCAAATCTACTCTTCAAGAAATTGACCTTTAACCCATAAGCTAACTCAAAACACCTTAAACTGCATTTGATTGTAACCACATTTCTCATAAAATCCTTCCCCAAAAATATAGTGTCATCAACATATTGTAGTAGATTTACCTTCTCATTTTGCACCCTTACTTTGAAGCTAGGGAACAATCTTTTACTTATCACCCCCCCCTCATCATATCGTTTAAGTCCTCCGCCACTATAAGAAATAAAAACAAAGCTAATTAAAATATTTCCTTGTCTCAATCCTTTAGATATTGAAAACTCTTTTGTGAGACTTTCGTTAATTAACACTGAGACTATATTGCTCTCCAAATAACGTAGGATCCAACTTTTCACTTCTTCCCAAAAGCCAACCTTTTTTAAGATGTATAACAAAAAATCTCAACTCATTGAGTCATATGCCTTTTCAAAATCCACCTTGAATATGAGACACTTTTTTTTTTGGATTTTTTGTCTCTTCAACTACCTCATTTGCCACCAAGGCGCTTTGAAGCAATTGTCTTCCCTCCAAAAAGACACTATTTTTTTTTATGTATTACATCCATTAAGACTTGCTTCAATTTTTTTGAGAGAACCTTGGCTAAAATCTTGTACATATACCCTACTAATGAGATTGGTTGAAAATCTCCCAAACTCTATGGATCTTTCCCCTTAGGGACAAAAGAGATAAAAGATGAATTTTTACCTTTGAAGAATTTTGCATGACTATGGAATTCCTCAAGAAAGTTCACAATATCTTCTTTCAATATTTCCCAAAAGGTCTTTAATGAATTTAAAATTATATCCATCCGGACCCAGGCTCTTCAAGCAACCACATTCCCAAACTGCTTTTTTATTTTTTTTTATATTTCAACCTCTTCAAACTTTGCAAGTAATTTTTGATTTTCCTCACTTGTTATACATTTGAAACTTACTCCATCTAATGTTGGTCTTCTCATCTCCTTCTCTTGGAATCTTTCTTGGAAAAAATCTTTCACCACATTTTTTTTATTCTTGTAGGTTATTCCACTCATTGTCCTTGTATATTTAATCCTCTCGATATATTTGTTCTTTTTCTCCAATAGACACAAGTATGGAAGAATCTTGAGTTTTTATCACCTTCCATAATCCACTTGACCCATGACTTTTGTCTAATAAATGATTCATAAGAGGTAGTCATGTTCCACAATTCCTCTCGTGCTTCTCTCTTTTTCTTTTTCTCCTCTTCATCAAGATCTCCTTCATTTTTTTTTTTATCATATTCATTCAATACCTTTTCAATATTAGCTAACGTTCCCCCAACCATGCCAAATTCTTCTATGTTCCATTTCTTGAGTTGCAGCTTTAATTCCTTGAGTTTTTTCTTTCAATACATAACTCGTCCACCCTTGTACAATTATTTCCCCCATTCTTCTATGACAAATGGCTTGAAACCTTGATCTTCCAACCAAACAATCTAGTACTTTGAATGGTTTTGGTCCACAATCAACACTATTATTTTTTTTGCCAAAATTGGGCAATGATCTAAAACATTTCTATCAAGGGCGTATTGTGTCCAATTTGGCCAACCATTCAACCATTCTTTACTAACCAGGATGCTATCCAACCTACTTCTCTCCCTCTACCATTTGGTCTATACTGTGTATACTTCCTCCCAACCAAGGTATGTCATTTAGCTCCATTTGTTGAATAAAATTTTTAAACTCTTTCATTTCTCCATGTTTATTACTTTCCTTATTCACCCCCACCCTTTTACCTTCTTGTCTCTCACAATTAAAATCCACACGTATACACCAACATTGAATATTGTTATTTTTTTTATATTAACTCATCTCATAAATTTCTCCTCTCAACTCTGTCTCATGGTGCATATACATTCACTAACATCACTTTTTTTCTACTTTCAATCCAAAACCCTTCACACCTTAGGTACCCACTAGTGTCAAACTTGCTTCTAAGATGAAAGCAATTTTTATCCCACATACAAGTCAAACCCCTGAAGCTCTTATGGTTGTCTTTGATTCCCAACCAAACTCCCCATTCCCCATAGAAAGACACCTACTTTTTCTCTCGAGCTCTCCAATTTTGTTTCTTATATCGATAAAAATTGTATTTATTATTTCAACACCAGCTGCTTTGCATACTTTTTCTTCAACCCACCCCAATCCCCTAATATTATATGAAATCAGTTTCATAAAACACGTCCTTGTTTTGCTCCATGTGTTCATTTAAGGCCAATTTGAGGTCTTTCTTCAAGTGCTGTGAGTCTTCCGATTATCTCTTCCTCACTTCCTTCATAATTTAATTGAAAAAAATTAGAGGGCTTAGCTTTCACCTAATAATTTTAGGGTTCTAGGGTTGCAACTTAATTGAACTGCATTTTTCACTTCTCAATCCTAACTCAATGGAGACTTTTCTAGGTGTATTTGATAAAATATCAAAATATGCTAAAATTTGAGCCACGGGCACAATAATAATAATAATAATAATAAAAGCTACGCAAGTTTAACAAACAACTCATTTAGAAGTATACTCTCACTTTTGCATGCTTCATCAATTTATAATTTATGTTAACTATTTTAGCAGAATTAAACAGTGAACCACATATATGAACAAACATGAATTTTCAAATTCAAACAAGATCCTTTTATTTTTCCTTTGTATTTATGTGTGTTAAATTTTTTCTGTAACTCAAACATAAACTATTAATTGAAATGGATCGAGCTAAAATAATTTTTAACTCAATTTTAAAATCTACTTTGATTTTTCTCTTTATTAAGGGGAAATAAATTGAAAATTGAATAAATTAGGACAATAAACAGACCATAAATGGGAGCCCTAGAAAATGTTATAGTCGATGATGACAAAGTTGTCTAGAACAATGTGCGTGATACACTAAATGCATATTTGTTTTACTGTTTAGAATAGCTAAACATCCCTTCAACTCAATCTATCCACACACCATAATGAATCCAATTTTATTTCTTTAAAAGATTTGACATGTTACAACAGGTTGGAAGAGTTTTGAAATTCGAAATTAATAATTTATAATTTTATATGTACTATTCTATAATTTTATTTAAATTTAAGAGTTGGAAATTTAAATGTAAAAAATTTGCTAATTGTTACAAAATGACTAGTCTATGTGAAAATGTACCGATATAGCTTAAAATAACAAGTAGAAATTACCTAAAAAAAATTTACTAATTAGCACTTAAAAATTTTGCTATTCTCAAAATTGAATCGATAATCGACTTTAGTGAAGTTAATTGGTGGGAAATTGGAAACCGTAGCCCGCATGAGAGTTGAGATTTTAGAACTAAAACCCCGCGGTAGGGTTTATACCGATTCACACAAACCCTAAATGCTTTCGTTCTCCCTTTCCGGTTTCCCTTCACTCCCACTCCGCAGAACAGAAGCATATCTAAGAGTAAGTGCAAGCTTTGGCATTGACACCCCACAAGAGCCAAATTCAACCAACCCTCATGGTCATGGCTCGGATGCTAAACATGAAGACGACTTTCGAAAGGGAAAGGGGAAGGGAAGTGGGAGAGTGATTGGGGGTGGTGGTGGGGTTGTTATTGGAAGGAAGAAGAAGAAGAATGCGAAGGAGAAGGTTCAATGGGTTTGCAGCAATTGTGGGTACAGTGCAGGGCAATGGTGGGGCGTGTGCCGCTCCTGCAGTGTGTCTGGCACCATGAAAGAGGCCAGATTCGGTGATGATTCTGATAGTGTGGTTAGTGGGTTTTCAGTTTTGGAGGATGGTGTGGGGTCTTGGCTCCCCCAACAGGAAGGTGAGATGCGTCCCTTGAGATTGGCAGAGGTTAACAGGGGACTTGATCATCACCATTGGAGAATTCCTTTGTGAGTTTCTATCGCTCTCTCCCTGCTAACTTATTGCTGTTGTTGGATGCATTGATGTTATGAGGGTATCCTGTTATTCCTGTTTTTGAGTCTGACACTGTTAGGCTCAACTCAACATTTGTTATTCCAGACAATGTTTTGGTAAAGTTCGCCACAAACACTCGTAACTTGTAAGAGAAGAAAATAACTGTCAAGTTCAGGGGCTAAATTTGTAATAATTGTCAAATTCAAGGATTAGTTATTTAAATTGACTGATGATTTCAATTTTAGGGAGTAAATTGAACGACAGTTCTGGGACTACATTTGCTTTTCTATAATATCAGGGACCAATTCTAAATTGACTGGTACTTGTAATTTTAGGAATTTATTTGGTGTACTACTCTTTTTTGTTTAGTTACAATAACATAAAGTTTTTTTTTTTTTTGAAAGTCGTTATATGTTAAGCTTTTTCTTTAAAAGCTACCCAAGGGTTTTTTTTTTTTTTTTTGATAAGCCAAACAGTTTTATTAATAGTAATAATAACTTGTAAACCACAAGACGAGCCTTCCAGTGAGAGTGCAAAAAAAAAAAAATTAAAAAAATTCAAAGAGTAAATTAAGTGACCTGCCCCTAATCTCATAATTTGGAGCCCCAACGCCAATAAAAAATCAAAACATAACTTTCTCTCAATAAAAAGCTACTCAAGGTTATTTATTAAAATAATCACAAATTTGATTTTCTTTTTTGGTTCTGATTTTGTTTTTTTAAAAACATAAATAAACACTAAAATATTGTTGAAGTGTTTTTTTTTTTTTTTATCAAAATAAAAGTGATTTTTCATTAAAAAAACTACAACAAACAAGCTCTATTACAGTCTATTGTTTTAAATTTTAATGAAAAATTATTTTCTTCATAAGCATGTTAAATAAAAGATTATCATCTAGATTAATGATATGAAGAACTTAGTAAGTAGTACATACATTAGTGTGTAAGAGCATCTTTTCGCATGTACCTTCACTTTTGGTCTACAGGGAAATGTGGGTACTTTTTCAAGTGTTATACTGTGTAGCTTGCTTTAATTTCAGGTCTGGTCCGTTTGGAGATGAAGTTTCCAGAGTGCTTGGCGGTGGTCTCGTACCAGGTTCATCTCAATTTCTTAACCATATTGATATGCCAGCAACCATTTTCATTGAGAATATCTTGTTTTTTCCTTCCTTTTGTTTTCGTGGGTATGAAGAAATTTTCAGCTCAAAATAGTTAGATGGATCTGCAGCAAGGGTGCCTAACACCATGGTCTCTTGATTTGGATTCTTAATTTATACCAGTTTTTAATTATATATTATTTGCTAGGAATTGTTTATCATACCACTTTTATTTATTTTCATCAAATGTGTTTCTTCTATTCTGACTGCAGAAACTAATTACAGCTCTAACTAATTTATGCTTAGCTTCACAATTTTTTTGGACTGGGAGCTTCATAAACTGGGACACCCCTTTTTGCACAAATATTTTGGCTTGATCATGTTTGAAATGAATTGTATATTTGATGGGTGTGTAGTGGACTATTCCAAAGAGTTGCAACTTTAGGTGATTTCTCTATATGAATGGATAGTCATTATTGGTATATTATTTCTCGTTTCTGGTGTTCTTTTTGGTCTTACTATGATGCTAATATTTGAATACCCGTATGAATGCTTCTAACTATTTGTCTAATCAGTTATCATATCTTTCTTAATTCGACTGCACTAAAAGTCTCGCTACAAAGTGCATTGAATGGTTAACATTGCTTATAATTCTGGGTTTGAAGGCTCATTGACTTTAATTGGTGGTGATCCTGGTGTTGGGAAGAGTACTCTGTTGTTGCAGGTATGAATTATTCTGCGATGGTAAAACTGAGTTTAGATAGTTAACTTTCTTTTTGTTGCCTTAGTCAACACTGACAAACATATGTTTTAATTTGAATTGGAAGATAGCTGCAATTATTGCAGAAGGACACAATGATGGTGAAACATCTCCAGTTGTATATGTCTCTGGTGAAGAGGTTTGCTTTTAGCTAGCATTGTACTAGTTTTAAATTTTGAAACTCGCTGATATTCCAAATTGCTGAAAAGTTCGTTGGGCTTGTAAAAGTCTTACTTATTTTACTTGTGCTATTATATGATTGAAAAATAATAAAATGTGATGCTAATCTGCAGAAAATTATCATCCTTATTTAAATTCTGTCAACCTCTTGTTTCCCTCATGCATTAATATTATATTATGCCAAAGGTGGATAGTTTAGTGTCACCTTTGATTTACAACTGTTATTTAGGGCCTGTTTTACTCTTTCATTTAGTATGCAATTATGTTAATTTTGGTATTTCATGTGACAGAGTGTTGAGCAAATTGGTAACAGAGCAGACCGCCTTAGAATCGAATCGGATATTTATTTATATTCAAGTAATGATGTTGAGGTGTTAGTATTTTCTTTTGCTATTTCTTTTTTTACATTAATTTTGACAATAATGTTATTCTTGATAATTAATTGGCAGGAGCATGGTATATTATATACAAGTCTTGAGTCTGAACAATTGTTTTTTTTTTATTATTATATTTTATGGTTTCAGGACATATTGAAGAAAGTTCAGTATCTCTCCCCTGGGGCTCTAATTGTTGATTCAATACAAACTGTTTATTTAAAAGAAATAATGGGAAGTCCCGGAGGGATTATGCAGGTGGGGAATCTATCATATAGCCAGATGAAGTCGTTATTCTTTATTATAAAAGGCCATTAGTCATGGTGTAGTAATCTTCGGCTGCTTTAAATGATTTAATTAGTTAATTTAGTCTGCTTTATAATGCCACACCTTAGTTTGTATTTGAAGTTCATGAATAAGACAGGTTAAATCTTCTCTAACAAAATCTGTGAAAAATGCATCAGCTATACCTTTTTGACTGTGAAATGAAACACTTGGTTCCATGGTACATGACGTTTAATATGTGTGAGACAGGTGAAAGAATGTACTTCAGCTTTACTGCGATTTGCGAAGAAGACAAACATCCCTGTTCTTTTGGTGAGGATATATATATCAAACAATTTTATGAACTATACCTTTTATATGAATGTACTCAAGTGGAAAAACATTTATCTATTCATGTACTGTAATGTTTTTCATGATATATACTTGTTTAAGTAAGACAATCTTGCTGATATGTCCTTTGTTTTTCTTTCTCATATTGCTATAATATTCTCTCAATGAACCTAACCACAGATTACATGTCTATTATTTAATAATGATTGTCATTGCTTGTGTGTATTTCATTTATGGATCATCTGTGGTCATTTCTTTTAAAGCTTTGGATTGTTGACATTCATGATCACGGATTTACTTCTTTTTTTTTTAGTTTCTTTTACCTTTTTGTTCTGTATTTCAGATTGGACATGTGACAAAGTCTGGAGACATAGCAGGGCCTCGTGTCTTGGAGCATATTGTTGACGTTGTTTTGTATATGGAAGTTGGTATCTCGTTACAACTTTCTTTCTTTGAATAGTTGGTAAAGCTGATTTGTGCTTATCGTTATACTTTCTACTACTTTGCATTTCTTGGGTTTCTTTACCCTTCTAGATGTGTTTTTGCTCTTGGCATCTTAAATCCGTTAAGCTTTCATTGGGCACATTACTGAATGTGTCATTCATATATCTTTTGTGTATTATGGCATAGAACAGCATAAAATTGAGTTTTGACAAGAGGATGTGCACTTTTTCCAATTTTTAAAAGAGAATGAAAGATGTTGTTGTGACATTTAATGGACCTGATGTCTATTGCAAATTCTATATGATTTTTTGTTAGCTTAGTAGTATTACTATTTACTAGTATATTGTTCAATACCAATTTACTTCCATAGAAAATTGTATTTTTCAATTGTGCTATTGCAGTGTAGTGACAACATGTGCAAGTATAAATGATAAATTGAGAAGTCACAATGAATAGTAAATAATAGTATGATATGAAGTGGAACAATAATAATATAATATTACACTACAACAAAAGGCTATAGTCTTACTTCTTAGTGACCAAGACAAGTATCAAGGAAATTCTTGTTGTCTATAATATTTTAAGTACATTCCAAATTTGTTTTGATTGCATGGTTCCTCATATCCCCATTTGAAAATTAGTCTTGCTATATTTTTTAACTAAAATCTGGATGTTTTGTACATCACCTTGCATATGTTGTTGACTATGCTTATAGTTAGATTTTTTAGATCACTGTATCTTTTCTATGCTAATTGCTTGTCTTCATGCTCAGGGTGAGAAGTACTCTTCCCATCGTATGCTTCGAGCTGTGAAAAATCGTTTTGGATCCACCGATGAGGTATGCCCACTATAATTATATTATGGATCTAGTGACTAGTATGTCTTCCTTGATAGTAATTGTTTTATTTCTAGCAATACCTTCAATAAAATACCTATTTGTAATACATAATAAATAGTGTGAACTGGAATTAGCCTTCTTCTTTTGGGGTCTATCTGTTTTTACCTTTCACCTGTGCTTAATAATTTTTTATCTCTGGAACTGTCTACCTATTCTCATCACCCAACTCATCTTGTTTAACTATTTTATTTGTAATGAATAATTTTTTTATTATGAAAAATTTATCTTAATGCCCTGCCCTCTTAGTCATGTTGACCCTGCCTTAAGAAACTATTTTCACTGTCTCAGACACTAGGATGGAATACAAACAGAACAATACCTGGTTTTGATTGTTGAAATTTTAGAATGAACTCTTATTTGTGTAGAAAGGTGTTAATAGCTTTCCTAGTCAAATTGCACATCTGAAAGTAAGTTGGTTCTATTGTAGAGCTAAGGCTCAGTGATATGCAACATATGGTTTACTATGCGAAGGATTTTACATGTGTTTTATTCATCTCTCAATTTAACAACATAGATAGGCGGCTTCTTTGTTTATTATTTTAATCTGGAAAAAATTATTTTTGATCTGTGTTGTCTTTGATTTATGTGGTCAGCTAGGAGTTTTTGAGATGTCACATTCAGGACTTCAGGCTGTTTCAAATGCCAGTGAAATGTTTCTCAGTGAACAGCACATGGATTCAGAAATTTTAGCTGGACTAGCTGTTGCTGTAATCATGGATGGGTCCCGGACATTCCTTATTGAAATTCAGGTATTTTCTATTGTGCTTTCATTATATTAAACAGTTTATGTTATTAAGCACGGCATGGATTTTCTTCAATATTTGACAATTCTGTTTTTGTGAAACATCACCCAGTCACCCGTGTCATCAATTGTGATATCTTGCAAATTGCAAGCCATTGTAAGAAATGATGGTTCAATATGTGCCAACAATGCACTATTTGCAATCTGTGAATTTTAGATCAAATATAATACATGACCTTAAGATGAAATTACAATCGTCTAGTATCCACCTGTCTACCTTTTTATGGAGCTTTTCACGGGTTGTGTCTGAAGTGCTAATCACAATATGATTTTGTAGTTATGTTGGAAATCTCCAATTATACTTCTTAATTGCCATTATCCTGTAGTCATCTTATTATTTCTTTCCTAACGAAGAAATGAATAAATGCTTTGCTTTCTTAAAAGAAATCAAAGTTATGAATATTTAAAAGGTCTAATTTGTTGCAAGCGCAGATTAATTCCAATTGTATTTTGTAGGCACTCTGTCTTTCTGGTTCAACAGGTTCAAGGCAAGTTAATGGGATCCAAGTAAATAGAGCTGATATGATCATATCTGTGAGTTGACATCTGTTGTTTTGTTAGCGTTTTTTATCCCTGCTTTCATGTCACATGCTTATCTTCTGATCTTCTCTTAATGGAAAATAAATGAAAATGATCTTGATGGTACCATGTTTCTAATTCAACGTATAGTCTGCTGCATTGAAATGGAAAGTGTAAAGTTGTTTTTAATCATCTGTCTGTCCTCTTGAACGGCAGGTTCTTATAAAGCAAGCAGGTCTTCGTCTCCGAGAACATGTAAGTTGATTTAGAAATATGATATCATATCAATATTGAAATTTTCACTGAATTAATTCCTCTGCATAAACACAAGAAAATTATGGGAATGTACCAAAGGAGATGCTATACCAAATATGGGAATGTCAACTAGTATGCATGCCTTTTCTTAAGTCTTGGTTTATTGCTCTCTAATTTGGGTTTCAACTTTCAAGAACATAATTTCATTCAGGAGTTACTTTGTGCTTTTTCTGTGGGGAGAAAGTGATACTAGTGTGCGCTGCATCTCTCCTTTTGAGAATTTAGGATTTCAATAAATTAGATTGAGAGCAAACAAAAATATTCACATCTGGCTTCTCTTTCTGATTTCTGCATGGTTATCTGGAATTTTCAGCAAAGCTTTGTGTAAGTTAACTTATCATTAAAACAGTCGACCATCACATCACTTAACCATGTAACCAGTTAAGAAGTCCAATGCCTGTTTGGTGCTTATAATATAATCAGGAGATGTGTTTTCAGTTTTGGTATTTGTATTGATTGCATTCTATTTCCTTGTCTTTCCTTTATACAACAACAGGCTGTGTTTTTGAATGTTGTTAGTGGATTGACACTGGCTGAGACTGCAGGAGATCTTGCTATAGCAGCAGCAATTTGCAGCAGGTTTGTGTTTTGATGTTTTTTTTTCCTGTTATGTAAATTTTATCTGACAATGATCATTGTCATATGAGGAATCAAGAGGGTGTTTTTGACCATATCATGCACCTTATTTGGAGAAGTGAATGTTGTTGTCAATTTATGTTAAGTTAAAAATTGTTGCACATGTGCTTCTTTTTTCTCCTAGTCATATGCTTCAATGTACTGTTTTAGATTTATATCTTAATTAGTCTACTTTTTAACCTCTTTTGTCTTTTCCCTTTTTTCCAGTTGCTTGGAAATCCCTATTCCAAATGATGTGGCATTCATTGGTGAAATTGGCCTTGGTGGTGAGCTTCGCATGGTGAGCATGTCTTTGTGATGTTAATATTTGCTTTTACGGTATTTTAAGGCTAATTTAGGGTGTTCAGTATCATAATGTTGTGATGAATGCAATGAGCCCATAGATGAAATCTTTTCTTTGTGAGAATAGTCGTTTGCCTGTCAGATCTCAAGTCTGGTTTCTTCTTGAGATTTCTTTATATTGATAATGAGCCCACCGAAGTGTTCTGCTGTTTCATTTTCTTTATAGTGATAATGAACCTAGGACATCATATTCTTTGGTTTCGGGTATGTTAGCTTTAAAATTTTGCTTGTCAAAAAAAATTGTATTTCAAAACCAGCACTTTTTTGAGAACTGCATTGCTTGTATGATTGTATCCATTAAGTCATAATTTAAAACTTCATTATTATTTGCATTCTTATTTTGTGTGATGATACAGGTTCCTAGAATGGAGAAAAGGGTGTACACCGTTGCGAAATTGGGTTTCAGAATGTGTATAGTACCCAAGGTGGCTGAAAAAGCTTTAGGAACTGAAGGTTTAGAAAAGATGAAAGTTGTTGGTTGCAGGAATCTGAAAGAGGTTATTAACACTGTATTCCCCAATATAATGAGAAGGTAGTGATTGGCCACAGACAGTATATTTGTGTTTTGCTTGTGCAGATCTTTCATATTAATCATTTTTATATGTAAATATTTAGCTCGTACCATAAGATATGTTACCAGTTATTCCAAGTATCTTTTCCCCACCTCTTTATTCATCAAATTTGCAGAGCTTGAATTGCATAACCAGAATTTAAGAAGACAAAAGTTTTCATACTGTTATCTGGCCTATATACTTTATTCAAGCGATAAATGGTGTAATTAACTAATTATTGAGAATTTTTACTTTTTTTTAAAAAAAATGTTGATGTAGCACTCGTGTAGATTCCTCTGAAAGAAATTGCCCATTATTTGTCAATGTGGAAAACAATGCCACGTACCGACGTACGTAAATGAATGAATTCGCAGATTTTTTTTCTTCCAAAAATGTTTTAATAAAATTTAGTTAGAGCAACTCTAATGGAAGTTGTTTGTCTGATTGTCTCATGAAATAATTCAAGTCCCAGTTTCTTATTATTGGATGATTCTGATGTAGTAACATGAGTTGTTGAAAGAAGAGAGAATTATTTTTTCAAGTAATTGTTCCTTACTAGGTTTCAAGCAAATTTTATTGAATATATTTGGGGACGATTTGAAAATAATAATGATGAAAATTAATTTTGTATAATATTTATGTATTTATTATTATTTTATTTTATTTTTAATATTTATTTATTATGTATTTTGTTTGGTAATTTATTTTTTTTATGGCCACAGACAGTATATTTGTGTTTTGCTTGTGCAGATCTTTCATATTAATCATTTTTATATGTAAATATTTAGCTCGTACCATAAGATATGTTACCAGTTATTCCAAGTATCTTTTCCCCACCTCTTTATTCATCAAATTTGCAGAGCTTGAATTGCATAACCAGAATTTAAGAAGACAAAAGTTTTCATACTGTTATCTGGCCTATATACTTTATTCAAGCGATAAATGGTGTAATTAACTAATTATTGAGAATTTTTACTTTTTTTTAAAAAAAATGTTGATGTAGCACTCGTGTAGATTCCTCTGAAAGAAATTGCCCATTATTTGTCAATGTGGAAAACAATGCCACGTACCGACGTACGTAAATGAATGAATTCGCAGATTTTTTTTCTTCCAAAAATGTTTTAATAAAATTTAGTTAGAGCAACTCTAATGGAAGTTGTTTGTCTGATTGTCTCATGAAATAATTCAAGTCCCAGTTTCTTATTATTGGATGATTCTGATGTAGTAACATGAGTTGTTGAAAGAAGAGAGAATTATTTTTTCAAGTAATTGTTCCTTACTAGGTTTCAAGCAAATTTTATTGAATATATTTGGGGACGATTTGAAAATAATAATGATGAAAATTAATTTTGTATAATATTTATGTATTTATTATTATTTTATTTTATTTTTAATATTTATTTATTATGTATTTTTTTTGGTAATTTATTTTTTTTATTATAATGTAATTATTATTTTTAATAAAAATTTAAATTTAGTTTATAAATAATTAAAAATAAATTTAAAAGTTGAATTTTTTAAAATTTTTTATTATTAGAGTAAATTTGTGTTTGAATTGTTTAATGTTAACATCACGTATTGAGAAGTACTTTTTCATTTTTTAATGGATGAAGTAGTTGAAATGAGTATCGGAGATGCCTTGTGACCTTTAAAATTAACTAACTTCATTCATGCATAGAAATTTCTATGAAGTATATTACGTTGGGCCGCGGAAAGGGAGCATGCGACCACAAGCCATTAAAAGCTCGAATTAAGAAGAAAAATAAATCAAATTTATCTGAAATCTGAATTCGGTTGGGAAATGATTGCAGAAATTACGTGAGCGATGTGGGTGATTCTTCCACAAATTAAGTTCTGATGTGGTGATTCTTTAATGACAAAACACTAGCAATTATTCATTCGCCAAACAGTAGAAAAAATAGTTTTTCTTTTCTTTTTTGCCAAAAAACAATATGTTGTAACCACCAACCAAATTCAAAACATGTAAAAGTTAGAAGAAATTAGTTTTAAAAAATTGCAACCGTGGAAACTTTTAAAAAATTATTTTCTTTGAGATAAATTTCCAAAAGTACCATTATATACAAATAATGTAAAAAAATTGTATTATTATTATTATTATTCAATACTAATGAGTTGTTTGTCCAGTAAAATTAGATTTGGTTCTTTTTTATAAAGTCCCAAATTTAAATCTTGCACATAAATATAAAAATTACTACTCTCTCTGAAACATTAATTTTATTTTTTATTTTTTATTAAAGATTGTTCTTGGATAACAAAAAGAAAATATGATAAATAAATGTTTTATCTCACTTCTTAATCTCTCAAATTGTTATTTGTCAATTTTATTGGTATTAATACATAAGTTTTGATATAGTGCAATATTTTCATCTCTCATGAAAATTCAAAAGTAAGTAAAATGAGTAAAATTGGTACATCATAACTTTCTTTTATAAACGCAATAAAATTAATTAAAATAATTATTTATATTATTTCAAGTGATACAATTAAAAATGTTTTATAATAAAGACCGGAATAAGTATTATTTAATTACAATTGTGATAAATTTATTAATTTTCACTCTAATTATATCTAGCATAAATTCATATTGTTTGACTCTAAATTTTTTATATTGATAATACACATAAATTAAACTTAATTTTTAAAGTACAAAATCTCTTACAACAATAGAATTATATTAAACTCAGTTTTATAAAATGGTGACAATTGAAAAAGGGACAAAGAGAGAGGAAGAAGAGATAGATGGTTCGTGATAAGAGAAAAAGAAATTAGAGAATTATTCTGATATAATGATGTTTTTGCTTATAACAAAACAAATGTTTGACCACGCGAATAAATAAAACGAAAGACTCAAAACTATCTGCAAATTAAAATAAGTTTTAGAATTTGTAAGAAACAAAGAAATGTTATCACAAATAAAGTTTATAAACAAGATTAATTTCCCCTTCACCGCAAGTTTCTCACATTGTCACTACTTAATCCAATTCCCTTTTTGAAACTTCTAAAAAACTAGCAAAATATCTGACTGCGTGTCATAAAGTCCATATATTGACAATATTATTATACCTTAACTCATCTCACAAAAGTAAGGAAAAGTAATATTAAAAATTTTATAATAAAAAAAAAAAGTAACTAGCAGCTATGGTTTGGTGAGTTGTGTTCCTTTAGGATTCAAGAAGCTAGGTTGATTAGTTGAAGACAGTAACCTTGCCCACATGCGATCAGTTATCACAACCTTCTTTTCACCCTCATTTATCCGCTGCAAATTACAAAAAATTTCAATTTACAATGAACTAAAAACTGCACAAGATTAGCAAGTTTTCCATTGATTATACTATTAAAGAATACAGACTGAGGAAATTTTAATAAAAAGATTACAATAACAATCATGATCAACCACAAAAAGAATGGAGAATCTGACATAGGACTAATCTGGGTGATTATATGATAGAATTTAATTAGAATGAGCTTATAGTCTAAAAGCTTTTTTACACAGTCAATTTTGTAGTAATTAATTTAAAAATCATATCTACTCACATCTACAATAACTTTAACTAGTTGACAATGTAAATCAGTGTATCAAAATTAAACTTTATTCAATGTTTACACATATTAGATCAAATCATTACATAGTGTGATTAGTTGTTAATAACCACTCTGTCACTTTAGTTCTTAGAATATCAGTTTGGCATGGGAATAAAAAAGTCAAAATTTCATGGATCAGTTTTCAATACAAATTTTTACTAATAAAACTGGACCACATTTTAAAGTTCTCTTACTCCCATTTTTACCCTATATACCAATTTGATGCTTATGCATAAATTACCTTGAGAGTTTGGCCCCTAACTTACAAAAGGCGAAAAAAATATTAAAGCATAACTCCATGCTATAGCAAACACTAGTGACGCTATAGCAAACATGGTAGACTAGAAATAACAATGACTTACATAAAATGGAATATAAGAATGTCTGCCATTGACCACGCCAACTGTGAAGCCTGTGTATCCAGCCATTGCACCATGAACAGCACTTTGAGCAAGGAGAGTGCAATATACATTATCAGATGCAATACTTGGAACGGCACGGACCATGTACGTGGGATCTACCACACAGGAAAATTTTCAATTGGTTAGAATATTTAGTTTATATTGATGATACACTATAATTTGCACCAGTAAAAAAGAAGAGCTCACCAATGTACTTCAGAGTTATAGCCATTTTTTTACTTTCCGCAAAGTGGTCCTACAACATAAATAAATATATCTATGTAAGCTAATATAAACAATGAATTTTAAATTTGATCTAGTTACATTTTTTTCTCTCTTCAGATTCTTGGAAGTAACTTACTCCAAAATTGCTATTGTTAACCATAACGCAAGAAGGAAAAAAATGTTTAATAAAAAACACATACTTCAGTTGTATTATTCCAGAAGTTTTACCTTAATCTTCTGGGATAACCACAAACCAACATCTTGAAGTAACTTGTTGCCGGCTGAATCCTGCTTATTCATAGCAGATAGGCTTTCCGAAATAAGCTCCTGACCAGCACCTTCAGCTATTACTATAACCATGTGGCCATTTTCTGTGAGTCTTTTCCTAATGAACTCAAAGAGTCCACATGGACCCTCAAGGTAAAAGGGTGACTCTGGAATTAAGCAACAATCCACATCTCGGCTGGCGAGAGTTGCGTACATAGCTATAAATCCTGTATGATTAGGACATGTCAAATAACCATAAGATCTAATATTACAAAAGGAGATGCTAAAATGAACAGATGATATAGTGGTAAAGGTGCAGCTGCTAGCTGATTTCCATTGGATAGGATAGTTCTCTGCTGTTGTTGGAAGGTTTTGGAATTGAATGTTATTTGGATAAGACTCCTCTAAAGCGAGCTTTTCTTTAAAGTGCACAAGAAGGGGTGTATCTACCCATGATTTAATTAAACATGTATTGTGATCTTAACTCTTAAGATCTAAGGGTGGATACATCCTCACATTATAGATAAACTCACTTTAGGGGAAGTTTTTCCATGTTTTTTTATCATGGAAGGTGGTATAGCAGAAAAGACAAGACCCACCTATCATGTTGCCCAAAGATCTAACGTTACTTACATGTACCAAAAAAGATAAAACACTGATGTACTAAAAGGAAGATGTTACAAAAATGATAAAGGCCCGAAACAACTGAAAAAATATGGAGGAATAATCTAACAAGATCACTAAAGGATAATTGTTTGTCAAATGGGCGGCTCTAAAACAACTAAAACCAGACCTTTCAGTTACCAAAGATGTCACTTGGCATGAATATTGCCAAAGATGACAATATTACGGTAGAATTAATTCAAAATAACTATATTAATTACATTTCTTGGTCTTGATAATTTGTCTTATGTTACTTATAATTAGGACTAGATGCAATACTTACCACTGAAGCGACCCATTAGCTTGACAACACCAATACCATTCTCAGTACTTTCTGCTTCCACATGAGCAGCATTTATGGCTCTTTGTGCCTCTTCAACAGCAGTGTCAAAACCCAATGATTTGTCAATAACCTGATTCAGGTACAACGTGGTTAATTAGGTGATTGTTTAAAAACAAATCCTTTTTTCTACTTTCTAAGCAAAATAGCTTCAATTGTAAGGCTTCAAATGTCCAATTCAAGAATGCTTACTGGGATGTCATTATCAACAGATTCCGGAATCCCCACCACTGAAACTTTCAAGCCACGTCTTCTAATTTCCTGTGTGCAAATAACAAAACCTTGGTTAACTCAAACATTCAAATTTTTGCATACCAACATTTGAACAATTACCTCAAAAATCACAGAAGCCCCTCTCTGAGTTCCATCTCCTCCAAGTATGTAAACCTGATTAATTCCCCTATCCTGAATGCTATCCACTATCTTTCCGGTATCATTGCCTCCTTCTCCTTGTGAGGTACCAAGGATGGTTCCACCACGTTTGTGAATGTCATTGACATCCTTTGGTGTCAACGGAATTGTATTTCGTGAATAAAAACCACTATATCCTCCCTGCATACAATTGAATCGAAGTAGAGGGAAAGAAAGATCACTACATTACCAATACTTGAAAGAAAATGCTCATAAAAAACTATAATGAAACTGCTAATTTTCTTTTGTTAGAAATAAAGAAGGCACATAAAGTGATTGGCACCTCTATTCCCAGGACTTCGTTCACCCCATACATATGGTGCAATCCGCAAACTATTTCTCTGATCACTGTATTTACACCAGGACAAAGACCTCCACATGTGACAATACAAGCATGGACATCCTCGGAGTCAAAATATACCTGGCAAACATCCAAACATTGTAGTCTGTCACCCCATAAATCACACATAACATTGGTGGCACCAAACAAACCTTCTGACGAGGCCCGGCACGGCGAAAATGAGTCCCTCTTGGGCTATTCTTGTGTACAATTATCTACACAAGGAGAAAAAAGAAAATTGAATCAACAAGAACACTATAAGTATAATGGAAGAGAGAGCAACAACAAGAACAATAACAACTTGCCTGTTGCGCAACAGAATCATCCATATCAACAAAATGCTGACTGGTGAATGGTGATGCATAAACCAATCAAAATCATAATCAGATTGAGACATGGAGTTAACACAGCAATGTGCAAAGTCCCAACACAACAACAACACCAGGAAGAATCAATTAAACTGGAATTTTAATACATAGTAAGAAACGTACTTGACAACTGAATAGGAAGGGTTGCCTTGCAACGGATTAGGATATGTCTGCAAAATGAACAAGAAGAAGAACAAGAAAAGAGTCAGAAAATGTGAGTAAGCAATGGAAGGCACACATTGATATACAAAGTCGTGCAAGAAGCAATAAAGAGTCTTTGTTTTTCCTCAATGTTTTGTAGCAAATGAAAGAGAATAATTTGGAGAAGGGTATGTTACAGTGAGGTGAGGGATGTAGTGAGATAGATGAGGGACATCATGAAGGACATAGCCAGCAGTTCCAGTGATGGTGTTGGGTTCAGAATTGGGCATGTTGAGTTTGGAAAGAAGGGAAAGTAGAATAGTGTGTTGAATTGAAGCAGAGGAATCTGATTACTGAAAATGGAAGAGTTGTATTTAGTATTGATATTTGATATTTAGTATTAGTCCAACGTAAGTCGGTGGAACACAGAAGAGAAACCTAGAAAGGAAGGGACAGGAACCGATTGCTGGGGTCCAACATATTTTGGAACTATCTGTCTCGTTCTCCTAAGAATTTAATGATTTTTAATTTTAGCTTAAATATATTTTTAATCCCTCAATAAATTTATTTTTAGTCTCTTAAATTTAAAATTATAATTTTTAATCTCTATAATTTTAAAAAAATTTATTTAAATTTTTATATTCAAATTTTATTAAAAAATTTATCAAATATTATTATAAAAAATCTACTTATTAGTATTTTTATTAATAAAAATATCACATTAAATTTAGTTAATATTATATAACTGTCTTAATTAGTCACTTTTAAATATGTTATTGGTGATTTAAGGAACTAAAACAAGATTTTAAAAATTACAAGAATTAAAAAAAATGTTAAATTTGAGAGACCAAAAATAAATTTGTCTTAAATTTGAGAGACTAAAAACATATTTAATTCTTTAATTTTTTATTAAAAGATGTTGGTTACTGTGAACTTGTATGCCATTGACTTATTGGTTCATAGTAGACCAGTAATTATTATTTTTTTACGTAGCTGCTATGGTAGAAAAAAATATTTTTTTAATAATTTAATTAATTTTATTTAAAACAAAAATATTTAAATTATTATAATACATGAATATATTTTAATATGTTAGTGGAATTTTATTTTAAAATTTTTAAATAAAAAATAAATTTTATAATGAATAAATAATATTTTAATAAGTTAATTTAATTTTATTTAAAAATTAAATAAATAATTAATTAATTCTTATTTGGGAATGAATATTTGACGTTGTTACCATTCATTACATGGTATTTAAAATTTAAAATATCATTAGCAATCATAGGTTAAATAAACTGTATGTAACCAACATTTTAAATAAGGTACTCATTTTTCTTCTTTGTTTTCTTTTAAAAAAATATTTTTCATATCTCTTTTTCTATTGGATGTGTTCTTTTATTTTCTTTGGACTTCAACAGAACACTTATAATAGGTAAAAATTATAATTCTTATTTTCTTCTAATTTATTTGATTGGTCTTATTTGATCTTTTGATTTTTTTTATGGGATATGGTAATTTTTTTATTTTAAGGTTTTTGTTTGGGTGTTATAGATTATGTAATTGAAAATAATGAAACTCATTTTTTTCTCTATTATTCTCCTTTTTATCATTTTATTATTACAGAATTTGTAACATCATACATTAAGAGAGGGCTATTTCTCAATTACAAGATTTAGTTATATTTTTTAATTAATTTAATTTTTTTAATTGAATTTTGGGTTCAGATATTATATGTTGATATATACTCTCTTAGAATTGTTGATGAAGTTAATTTGATACTTACTTGCAGTTTGACTTAAATTGGTTTCTTCCTCAACATTGCGTGAAATATTGTCCATTTTAACTTGTTGAATTATTATGATTTTGTCCTTAAAAAATCATCTTATTATGTTAAGGAAAAAGAGACTTTATAAATTTTCTTTAATTTTGATTTTTAAGCAATATAAAACCTTCATATATATTAAATCAAATAGATAAAAAAAGATAGAAGAAAAAATAAAATAAAAAATAAATAAAGAGAGAAATGAACAAATAGATAAAGAAAATATGATAGAAAAAAGAGAGGGAAGATGAGAAAGGGAAGAGAAACATGAGAAAGAGAGAGAACCAAAAAACTTGAGAGAGAAAAAAAGAGAGGAGAAATAAAAAAGAAAAAAAATCATACAAAATCTCAAATATTTTGTAAATTCTATTAAAAAGTCTCAAAATCTAACATTCAAAATAATCTATTGAAATATCTATATTTTTTAATATTAACAAATTCTTTTAAGTGAAAAAAGTATTGATTAAATACTTTATCATTCTTTTAAAAAATTTTGATTATCTCAATTGAATATCATTTGATTTAATGTATATTTTTAAAAAAAATTTAATCATCTTAATTAAATAACACATAAGTTTATTTATAATACTTTTTTATTTTAATATTATAAAATTTTTATATAATAATTTTCTTAAAATCTTTTAAAATCTTAATCCAATACACTTTTTTAATTAAGGTTGAAGTTAATTCTTTAGGTTAAAACCCTAATTTGGTCCTCTATAATATTTTAAAGTTTCAATTTAGTCCCACTTTAATTTTTTGTTTCAATTTGATCCCTAATAATTTAGATTACTGCAATGTCGGACCTTCCATCCAAATTTCTTAAACGGAGTTAACTGTTGCCCACGTGGATGCCACGTAAATGCATAGGTGGATCCCAAATTTTTTTAATGCATCTGAAACCAGAACGACCCGTTTTGAAACCAGAACGAGTCGTTCTACTGCACTCGTGGTGTGTTAATTTTGCATTTGGAACAGGCCGTTCCAGATGCATTAGTTAACACACAACGAGTGCAGCAGAACGGGCCGTTCTGAAACTAGAACGGACCGTTCTGATTTTATAACAGACCGTTCTGGATTTAAAACGGGTCATTCTATAACGCCAACCACATACATGCTTTAACAAAATGCAATAATGTGGTTTAAAGATTGAAAACATAAATTCATAACATAACATAAATTCAAAGACTAAAATATGGTTTAGAGACTGAAAACAAAAATTCAAAGACTGATATATTGTTGTTGTTGGGGTACATCCGTCAATGACTCCAAGGGGAAACACCATGTCATTTCATCCTTGACTGTATAATGTCGATTTGGTAGTAAGTGGTTCACTTTAGTTTGACTAACAATGAAATAAAACTTGTCACCATTGTCCTTAGTGATACACTGCATTGCATAACAAGTATTATAATTAGAGTTAATCACCTATACACTGCCAGTGTAAAGTTTTTTTACATTGACAACCAATCAAATCTGTTAATAGTGTCATGTCATTTGCTCATTTAATTAAATTAAAATAAAAAATGCACTATTAACATATCTGATTGGTTGCCAGTGTAAAAAATTTTACACTGACATTGTATAGGTGATTAACTCTTATAATTAATACTTCTATAAACTCCTATATCTTGCAATTGGTCTAGAAATGGTGTATAGCTCAAATGTTTAGCAATTGAAGTTATCAATCTCCCATTGACAATATTACCAAATCCAATGTTTGAAATGCTTTGTACCTTGAGTTTTTTTTTTTCTTGCACGATTCATAATCGTGATTTAGAATCACGGGCGTGAACATAATCATGGACCATTTTGGTTGGCTTTCTAGAACTAGAACGGGTCGTTCTGGTTCCAGATGCATTATAGAAATTTGGCATCCACCTATACATTTACGTGACATCTATGTGGTCAACAGTTAACTCCGTTTAAGAAATTTGGACAGAAAGTCTGATATTACAATAATTTAAATTATTAAGAACCAAATTGAAACTAAAAATTAAAGTGGGACTAAACTGAAACATTAAAATATTATAAGAGACCAAATTAAGTATTTAACCTATTCTTTACCTTTTCCTCCTAAACGCACGTTATATTTTCAATTTCTTCTCATTTATATGTTTTAAAAAAAAATGGACGCTTACAGCAAACTAACTTTATCACCTAGTTGATTGGGCTTGTTTATTAATTTTACATATAATTTCAATAGATTTATTAACAACTTTCTTTAATTTTATGTTTTAGGAAGGTTATTCAATGCACATATTTGTTGATAAAAGGAGCTTCTTCAACTACTCCTTTAAATTTTTACATTCTTGCTCATTTCAAATGAGGCAACTCTTGCGGAGTTTTCTTTCTTAAGATTGTAATTTTTTTTGTTTATATTTTTATTTTTCTAATAATAAAGATATAGAGTATATAAATGAAAGATAATTCTCACTTAATATATAAATTTTATTAGATTAAACTCAAATTTACATTATAAGAAAGTTTAGTGAGTATTTGAAAAATATTTTATTGTGGCTTATAGTTGAAACTTATGAGAGAGGTTATTGCAAACGGTAAAAAAAAAGGGATATTAATGCAATTTCAAGGAGTGTCAATATAAATTATTCTTATTTTTATTTCTAATTTTTTTAAGTCAAATGTCGTGTCTCTCTTCTTAAATCATTACAAAATATTATGATATAAAATATGTGTAAGTATAAAATTGTATATATTAGTATTCATAATTTATTTATATTTTTAAACATATACTAACACTTATCTATATGAAAAAAAATTTGAAATATTCATTTATCATAATGATATAAAAAAATTATAAATGTAATCTCATATATGATATGACATGGATTACTCAAGTGTCTAATATTTGAACTCTGGCTCGAAACATTTTCACTGAGGTTTTTATTTTCAAATTCTATAAAACTTCTAAACTAAAATAAAAGGTTTACTTCTTTACTTGAGTTCTCAATAAATACTAATCAATATTTTCATTGAAACATTTTTTTTCTTTAGATTTTATTAATTATTATCCAATTTCCTATTAAGATAAAAAATATATATATAATTATTAAATAGTACTAAATCCTAAATTAACTAGATTTACAATGAAACCTAGAAATCGATCATTGATCTAATTAGGCTACTTCTATAAGATAGGCCTCAACAAAAAACTGAAATATAATGACAACAAATAATTGGATTGAATAATTTCTTCTATAAAATTATTAACCTCTGCTTAAAATTATCTTTTTAAAACTTTAATGGGCTTGTGAGGCCCAACATTACTGGGTCAGATTCTAAAAGCCCACGTAGCTTCAGGTCAGTACTTTTGGTCTTGACTATTATTTTTAATTTTGATTATTGGCCATTTCCAAACTAACCTGATTCTCTCTCTCTCTCTCTGTTGTGTTGCCCTGCTTCATACACATACTAGTTGTGGCTGTGGGCGGTGTCAGGAGAAAAACAAACCACATCCAACTTCTTCCATTTTCATTTACGGATTCATTCTCATCCTCGCCATGTACAGAGTAGCGGCTACATCGCTCAGAAGGCATCTCAAGGTCACTACTATTACTATCTTCCCCCTTTTTTTTCATCCCAACTCTATTATTATTAATGTTTAGGACCAGAAATCTTCAACCCCTCATGTTTTTTTATCTTACCCTGATAAAAAAATTGATTTTGATCCGTAAAAAAAATGTATTTTTATTGATTTTCTGGGGAATTAGGTTGGTGGGTTGGATATTGGAACCCCCCGGATTCATTATACGAAATTAAATCCCACGCAACAGGTTTAGGTTGTTTTTCATGTTACAATTGACAATTTGTTATTCCCATGAAAAAGCTGGGGTGGCGTTGGTGTAATGGAATATTCTTTTTGTGGTGAATGCTACTGCTGCTGTTTGTGATTTTTGTCTAATGAAACCATGTGATCAGGGCTATGGAGGGAAGTTGAGATCCACTGGGTATTCCACTTCAGCTGCTGTAGCTACGAAGGCTTCCAATGGTGGTTTGTTTAGCTGGCTTACTGGGGAGACTTCTAGGTCCCTTCCTCCTCTGGACATACCACTTTCCGGTGTTGCTCTCCCAGATCCAGTTCCAGATCATGTTGAAACAAGCAAGACCAAGATCACTACACTCCCCAATGGACTCAAAGTAGCATCAGAGATGTTGTCTGTATGTGCATGTTTCTTGTTTTTTGGCATCTTGACAATGATACTGTATGCTTGGAATTTCTAGTTATTTGGAGTTTGGACTCATGTGTTCCATGACAATGTTACTTTAAGATTTAATTTTATGTGCATGTTTCTAGTCTTTTGGCATCTAGGTATGTTCGATGACAATGTTACTGTAGTAGTTAACTGTATGTGCATTGTTAATTTTTTTGGTGTGTTGATAGTTTTAATGACTATTTTACTGTAAGGCTTAACTGTATGTGCATGTTTGTAACTTTTTTGGTGTCTTGATATGTTCAATGATGATGTTACAGTAAGCTTTAATGGTGCTTTTGAGGTGTGGCTAGTATATTAATTTTTTCCTTTTCATTTTGGTTGTTAATTAGAACGCTGCAGCTTCAATCGGGTTATATCTTGACTGTGGTTCCATCCATGAGACCCCATTGTCAAGTGGGGCTTCACACTTGCTAGAGCGAATGGCTTTCAAAAGCACAACAAACCGTAGTCACTTCCGTATTGTAAGGGAAGTAGAAGCAATTGGTGGTAATGTAGGAGCCTCTGCCTCTCGTGAGCAAATGGGTTATACATTTGATGCCTTGAAGACTTATGTTCCACAAATGGTTGAATTACTGGTTGACTGTGTAAGGAACCCAGCCTTCTTGGATTGGGAGGTCAATGAAGAGGTATTTTCTTTTTATGTTTCTCTTTTCTGAAGGAGTGATCTTGTAATTCTTAAGTCAGCAAGCTTATTAAACATTTTCTTCCTCCTCTGTTTTATGATCTACAGTAGGATTGATGAACAATTACACTCTTTTTCTAGAAATAATTATGGGCCCTCTAGTGGGGTTATGTTATGTTGTTGATAAAAAAATATTGGAAAGTAAAACACCTTTAGTCTCTCTTTATGGTATTATATAGGATTTTCTTTCTTATATGTATAGTTACACTTTAATCACCTCCAAGGCTCCAACAAAGTATATTAAAGGTAGACAAAGTCATGCTGAGTGCAAAATTATTTATTTTTTAGCCCTGACTTCCATTTTCATTTCTCCTTTGTGGACTGAGAAGCTGATACAAACCTTGGGTGAACCACACTGAAAAAGCAGAAAGGTTAGCCAAACCATTCAGGTGGCAAGGCTGTATAAACCCATGTAAAAATCTCGTACTCCCAATGTCAAATTTATTTCCCGTAGCTCACAATTGAATCCTAGCATTACACCTAGCTTTGCAGCCCTGTCATCCACTCATGATTGGAAGGTCTTGATACCAATTGATATCAACATTGAGAGAACCACACCATGAAAACTAGCCATTGTGGTGAGAGAACCCAAGGGCATATAAAACTAATGAAATCCCATGCTTGTTCAGCATATGAATCAATTCCCATGCCTTGCTGTTGGATCTTAAATGGCAAGAGTCTTGATAATAGCTTGCCATTCCCATTTTTATAGTATAATATTCTTTATTGGTAGTTTATATAGCATTATTTCTGAACCTGTTGAACCATCTATTGAAACAGCTTCGAAAGGTGAAAGCAGAGCTTGGAGAACTCTCTAACAATCCCCAGGGCTTGCTTTTGGAAGCAATTCACTCTGCTGGTTATTCTGGTGCATTGGCTTATCCTCTTTTGGCTCCTGAAGCAGCACTGAACAGATTGGACGGCGCCATTTTAGAGGAATTTGTTGCTGTAAGATCTGTTATCTTTTTTGATAGTACATGAGTCCTACTGGTATTAATTTATGCAACACGTAATTTTTTGGTTTTTTCTTTCTGTTTTTTTTCCCTTGCAATATATTTGAGAATCTAATTATTGCCTGATGTAAAAATTCAGGAGAATTACACAGCACCTAGAATGGTACTTGCAGCATCTGGGGTTGAGCACGAAGAGCTTCTATCTGTTGCTGAACCACTTCTCTCTGATCTACCAAAAGTTCCTCGTCCTGAAGAACCAAAATCTATCTATGTTGGGGGTGATTTTCGTCGTCATGGTGAATCAGCGGTTTGTATAAGTTTACATTTTCTTGAATCTCATTCTTTTCAGTTATCCACTTCAAACACATTGTTATTTACTTGCTAATATATGTTGCAAGGGCAGGGTACACATGTTGCTATTGCTTTTGAAGTGCCTGGCGGCTGGCAAACAGAGAGAGATGCTATTGTTTTGACTGTTTTACAGGTACTCATATTGTGTCTGAGTCTCTGATAGAAATAACGTGCTTCGGTTTATTCATCTTTACTATTCTTACACAAAAAAGTAAAGTACAAAATGATTGAACGGAAGTAATAATTCTTGAATTGTGCAGATGCTTATGGGAGGAGGTGGGTCATTCTCCGCAGGGGGCCCAGGAAAAGGGATGCACTCAAGGCTATGTATGTTTTACCTATATCTTTTTGTCTTCTGTTTAGTTTGGTCAGCTATGTGCTTTAACCTTGTCATTATCTTTAATTAGCTTTTTCATTTAACAAGTAAAGCTTATCTGTCTAATGTGCACCACACTCTTTTGTCATTTTATTTTCCCACATTCTCAACTCTAATATTTTAACTTGTTTTGCATGTACAACTGAATCAAGATCTTCGTGTGCTGAATGAATATCAACAGATTCAATCTTTTTCTGCATTCAACAGTATCTTCAATAATACAGGACTATTTGGCATTTATGCAAGCACTGTAAGCAAAAAGCCGCCATTGTTTTTGGGCATTCCTTTACACAATATTTTTAAATATAGATGTGAATTTCCTATTTTTCTTCCCTTTGAAAGTTGGGTTTAGTATGTCTAGGAGAACAAGTTCCCTGTATTATGCAATGCTGATAATAGCTAGAGTAAATATGCTTAGTAGTTACTAGTTAGTAGTTGAAGTTGCCTTGATGAACATTGATCAGAGTGTATATCTAGTTTGAGGATTCTACATGGCTTGCCAATGACCTTTCAATTGTCACTCTCAAGAATTACGGTTGTCATAAACAAACTAGTTCAACTATATTATACTCTATTCGTTTTCCCTTTTGTTTAAGCTGTGTGATGAATTTGTAATATTCTCATGGGATAGGGGGGATTGGAGAGCTTTGCTGAATTATTTTCCTTAACCTCTGTAGGATATATGCTCTTTATTTTTAGGGGAATTTCTTACTTTCAATTGAGATTTTGAAGAGAATGATGCTAAAAGCAGAGAAAGGAAAAGAGAAATATTACTTCCATAGTGTTAATTTAAATACAAAAAATGCCTAAGGAGAGAGTTTACCTTGCTAGGGTGTCCTCTTCCACAGTGTTTCCCCATTATACAACTGAACTAATGCTCAATTCCCAAATCAGACAACAAATCTGAATCCCACCCCTTGTACGGTTGTACCCTATCCTCCTTTTTAAGCTAATTGCTACCTCTTTATCTGCCCAAATACAATTATTTTAACTAACTACTCTTGGCCCAGTTTTCTTTTAGTGTTGTATTTGCCTTCTATTTTCCCTAACATGAATGTATTTGCCCTATCTGTTTAGGGGAATTTCAGTCTCCTTATAGCTGTATTTTCATTTTCTCTAAAATATTTGTTTATCACTTCTATTGCATGTTTGGGAGAGCATATTTTTGAGAGAATAATCACTTATTTTCCAAAAGCTTTTTCGGAACTGCAAAAAATAAGTGATAATTTCTTCAAAATAAACTAAGCCATAAGTTAATAGTCACTGCTTAATATGTTATTCTAAGGTTGACTCGTTCAAATTTCTGGATGTAGAGCCCTGATTTTGTGCCAAAAGCTGTGGAAATAGCAGCCAAAGAACTGCTATCAATTGCATCCCCTGGACAAGGTTTTACTTCTCTCTTTTGTTTCTGTAGTATTTTAGTATATATCTTTATTTGTGCAAAATAAAACTTCCACTTCTTGCAATGACAGTTTCACAGGTACAGCTTGACCGAGCCAAAAAAACCACAAAGTCTGCAGTTCTAATGAATCTGGAATCTAGAGTATGCTCTTGCCTTCTTTAATACATAAACTGATGTTTTAAATATTTGGAAGTTCTCTTTCTTTTATACTCTTTTTATCATTGAACGCATCTGCCTTTTTGATTGTATCATATCCTCTATTCTAAATAGGGTTGGTTAGATTTCATATGGTTCTCATGTTTAAAAGTAATCATTTTTTGCAGATGATTGCATCCGAAGATATAGGAAGGCAAATTTTGACTTATGGAGAAAGGTAAACAATTTCTTATAAGTAGCTCCCAAGGAAACTTTGCTAGGTTCTTGGGAGTTATTTTTAACATTCAAGCTTTTGCATTTGAATTTCTCATCCATAATGAAGAAACCTTTATGAATATACTCTATTCACAAGCTATAATTCTTGAATGGAAGTGTAAGTCTTTGTCAATTGTAATCTTACCCTTTCAGGAAGCCTGTGGAACAATTCTTGAAGGTTGTTGATGAAATCACGTTGGATGATATCACTAAAATTTCTCAGAAGATTATTTCCTCACCTTTGACCATGGCATCATATGGGGATGGTAATTAACAAATTTTCCCTTTCAAGAATTTCTTTACTGATTGATAATGCTAGTCTTGACCAAGAGACAATTTCTTTTGTGGCAGTCTTGAATGTTCCCAGTTATGAATCTGTTAGCAGCATCTTCCATGCAAAATGAAATTGCATGTGATCCACCTTCAGCTCATCATTTTTTCTGGATCACAAAAATGCCTATTTCAATTTTCAAGAGCAATATACACCGAATCAGCAATGCTGAAAATAAATCCCAGAGAAGTTTTTGTGCGGATCTGAGGAACCATTATTCAGGTTCCATGTTTGTTTTTCTTTAACTATTTGCCTAGTGTATTAGGTGCATGGTCTCAAGGCTAATGATCACCTTAGTTTTTTTTTTACTTATGAATTAATTTTCTCTCATTTTTGAGCATAATTTCTAATATATGTAAAAAAGAATGCAAGTAATATACTCATTAATCATATCATACATTTTAACATGTTCTACTATTTGGATATATTTATGTAGGGTTTAGTAAATATCAAATAGAATTCATTAAAGTGGTGGTAGGACTTGTATCATTATGTAGGTCCTATATAAATATCAGTTAACAGGTAGTTTATTTTGTATTGAAAATTGAAATAACGACTGTTAGTAGCATTTAGCATTTTATTTATATATATATATAGAGATAGAGAGAGAAATTTTCATCCTAGGATGACATAAGGTGAAAGTAAGAATGATCAATTTCAACTCTTAAATTTAAAATGAATGATGAGATTAAAAGACCATTTCATAATTCAAGGGGTTGTGGTATTGTCGATTCCTCTGACCATTTTGCCACTGCCACCACCGATGCAAGTGGTGTTGGGAGCGTTGTTAATGTGATTTTGGTTGTAATTTTTTTAATCTTGACCTCCTATTCAAAATTAAAGGATTGACTTCTGTATACATGGAGATGTCCATTGTAGGGTTTGTTTAAATAAAGCACTTAGAATTGTGACTTTAATTAAAAAGTAAACAAGTGTTTGGATTTTTTAATTGATTCATTTTTAGAAATAGATTATAACATATTTCAGAAAAGCGTTTTTGTTAAAAAATTTTAAACATATATAATGTCAAAACTACAAGATTATTTTCTTTTGGCTTTGCACAAAAAGTAAAATAATAAAGCCAATCATATTAAAAACAAACAGGTTTGGTATAAAGATAATGTTTGCGCGTGTGGTTTGAAATATTATTTGTATGCATTTTTGAACTTTATGTGTAATTAAAATATAACATATCTAAATTTAAATATTTGTTTTTGAAGCAAAAATGATCATTGTATGCATTTACATTCTCACTGTTATGAATTTTATTTTTTTCATTTTCTGAAACTTGATGAGATTTTACATCAGAATGAGAAGCTTGTTTATTAAATGCATATTTTGAATTATTGTTCTAATATTTGCTTCATTAAGTTATGACTTGATATAATTATGTCACGCGTCAATGATTTATTTAGCACGTCATTACTTAAAAAAAAATTCTTCTTGTTATTGAGTCGATAATATATAAACCTAAGCACTCATGTATATTATTTAAATCTCTGATTCTAATAGGTTTATAAATGCATTAACGAAAAATATTTTCTTAAAAATTAAAATAGACAGTAGATGATATTGATAGTGTGTGTAGTCAGCAAAAGGTGACATAGATAGGAGGCACATGATATGTAGCATTTGGCATTTGCCATGTGTTGCCTTGGAGAAGGAGTTTCTTCAGCCGCATCAATGACTCCATTTATTTCATCAAAAACCTTCAAGCAGTGTGCAATTTTCTTCTCTTTTCATCAAATCAGAATCTGCTTCGTTGTCCCTCTATCACCATGTGATACATCCCTTCTAGGACAAAACCTTTTCCAATGAAAAAACCACATTATATAATTTGAATTATTCGACAATTCAAGACTCGCCAACAATTTATTTGTAACCACAAAAAGTATGGCGTTGATTCCATTTTGTACAATATTTATATGTTGAACGCTCTGATCAATGTTGTCCTTCTCTCTTAACGTGAGGTTAGAGCACATGACCCATGTTGTGCCTTTCTATGTTGTCACATTACACGGTTTGATTGAAAATACTTCAATAATATAGAAATAAATTAACGGAACCAAAGCTCTCCATTTTCTCATCCCCTCCGAGTGGTAATCCCATAAATGCTGCAAATTGGTAGTGTATGGAAGCCACACAAACTACACATATAAGTAAATCATTAATTATAAAATATGATTACATCACTAGTAGTATAATCAAATTAATATATTTAAGTGAAGAATAATTAATATATTTAAATTTCTTAAGTTTAAGCCTTGAATGTCTTGTTCAATCATTTATCTCAATGTAATATTATAATCATAATTCTCACATTAACTAAGGTTGCCAATGTCAATGTAATATTATAATCATGATGTGATTATTTTGTGTTTTTGGCATCGAAAAGAGTTGGGAGTCAAGTTATTGGTCTAATTTAGGTTTGAAAATGACGAATTTGGGACACTATAATCGATTAAAGCATTTGCTAATTGATTATGGTCATCGGTTTACATGCACAGAGGTGTGTGAATGTTTGATGTGTATTGGAAAATCATATTATGGCATTCAATTGTTAGTTCTTATATTCGAATGATAAATGTGCTTATTCAATTGTGACTGTTTGTTATTCAAATGCCGAAGTTTTTATTTCGATAAGTTTATTGCCTTATTTGAATAAGAAAATTTTCATTCAATTCCAAGATATGTTGTAATTGATTACTTTGATTACAGCCAAACATTCATTTGAATACATATTCCACAATTATGTACGTCCAAATGTAATTAATTTGGGTTGTTCCATAATTAATTACATTTTCGATTATTTTTTAAAAATATTCAATTCATATTATGCAATGTGTTTATCATTGATGTCTAAATATTTTATTATTGTTTTGTTGCTATTGGTTTGAATTGTATTTTATTTTCCAAATGTCATTTTTAAGACGGGTGTTGTGAAATTGTCAATTTATTGCAGATTCTTTGAGATGTCAAAATAGGGGTGGGGGCAAAAGAAACTAGGTCTTATAAAAAAGACTAAACTAATTTAAAAATTTAATAAAAACCGAATATTAACAATAATAACAATTTTTTAATAAACAGATATAACTTTTTTTTATCAAATAAGTTAATATAAGATAAAAAGAAAAATGATACCTCCAGGTGACTCATGCTTAAAATAGACATCAAACATCACTTTAACTAAATCCTTATAGTAACAACAACAAAACCTGTACGCATAGTTGATAAATCTAAATGCAATCACTTACGATAGTAATAAAAAAAAATGAAATATATTTATAATTACAATTTTTTCATTAAATAATCAACATAATAATTATACGACTAAAATAACCATAATGTATACAACTAAGAAAGATATAAAATATCTGTAAAAGAGAAAGAGTTGAATCTTCTTATTAATATATATATATATATATATATTACTTTATTTAATAATTTATATTTTATATCAAATTTTAAAAATTTAATCATTAAATTTAAATTTTTTAATACATATATCAAATTTAAGATTTAGGATTTAAGATTTACTAATTATATTAAATATGAAGTAACCTTGTTTCTTGAAAATTTAGCACCGAATCTTTTAAAATGAACTGAAGATAAAAAAAAGAAAAAGAAAAAAAAAGAGAGACATTACATTAATGAATATCCAGATAGAAAAATATTATAAAATAAATAAATGAGAGAAGATACGAGTAGTAAAAATAAAAATTAGTATAAATAATTTTGATAAACACTATTTATTTTAATTATTTTACAAAGATAATATTTTTAAGATTTGAATCTGTCTATGTCGTGGATCGTACCATTATTGTTGGAGATTTCGAAAAAGTAAATAAAAGGAAGTGGTAGTACTACTAGTGCAGGGCTATAAAGAGAAGCTGAAGCTTTTCTAGCTGTACGTACACTTACATGTTTAAATGAAACCACGTAAAAAGTGTAATCATACAATTTACATGTTTAAAAAGGTTTTTTTTAATTAACCCTATAAAATTACTAAGACATGTTTGAATATATAACTTAAAGGGTTTAATAGTCACTAATTATTAATGTAAATTTTTTATATCAAATTATTATTATTTTAATGCATTCTTTTAAGGATTATATGTATAACATTATTTTTGTTATAAGGTCGAATTTGGTGACTCTTCTCATCTCTTTTTAATTTAAAGTTGATTAATTTATTTGTTTATAAATTATGTGTTTTCTATTAAATTTAAAAGAAATCTTTTTATAATTAAATTAAAATAATTTTATACTAATTAATTAACACATTCAATGGTGATTAATTTATTTAATAGTATTATATTATTAAATTAGAATAACTTTAATAGAAAAATCATTATAATAAATAAATATAAGAAATATTTAAGATTAATTCTCATAAAATATACTGAACAAAAATTTTAATTTAGATTATAAAATAAAAATAAAAAAGTAGAAGAGTAAATACTTTTATAATAAGTGTCACGTAAAAATAAATAAACGTTAAATTATACTTTTAGTTTTTTATTTTATATTTAAAATTTATTTCATTTTAAATATTCAATTTAATTTTAAAATTTGAGTTAATGTTATCATATTGAAATACTAATTACTTTTTATAAAATTAATTTTTGTTAGTTAACCAATCGATCATTAGGCTGACTCTCGGTGAATCGGCTGGTTTGATCTAATTTTTATAAACAATGATTTGATTAATGTTAGCACTAAAAACATCGTAAAAATTATATGAAAAATAAGCCTTATAAATAACAAAAATATCTTGATATTAAATTCTTTTATTTTTTAAAAATTCTCATAACAGTCACTTTTTGCATGATTTCATTTTTTTTAGGACCACATTAATTCATTACGCTTACGACTAGAAGACCCGTATCTTTATTGAGTATAGTTATCTTTTGAAATTGAGTGTCGAGCCTCCTCTTGGTCCTTAGTTAATATCGTATGGGAGTCAAACTAATTTTATATAGACTTAGTTATGCATGTTAAGACTGTAGTTGGCTTACACCCAAATTGTTCTACTCCTAACAAAAATATTGGACTTTTCTAGTTTAAATAGTGAAATTTGAGAAACATGTGTTATAGATTTGTATTCAAATTTGTTATTGATTTATAAGACCCAAAAAAATCACATTGTTAAGTTAGTTTGTTACGGTCAAGTTACCTAAACTATTCACCTTTATTGCAAGAGGTCTCTTAGTCAAAATATATGATGACATATTGTGTTGTTATGTTGCCATATTGGTAAGTTGTGTTATACTGTATTGTTAGTTGATATGTTATTTAGTTCTTGTTTGGATTAAATTGTTAATCATGTGGTTTTTTGAAATGAAAGTTATTAAATTGTTGTACTCTGTCATGAGTTAATATGTTGATATGCATTTGAGTTGATAATTGTGTTG